CCCCCCCCCCCCCCGCACACCCTAAACAATGGAAAATTAAAATAAATTCATAAAACCCTTCCATCCTTTATCCAATTCTTTGTGAAGTCAGGAATCGAAAGTTCCTAGGTTATTATGAAAATATATTCTCAGTTTCATCTACCAAGTTCAGAATGATATGATCAGTTTCTTCATTACTTCAATATCATTGAAACTTGGAAGATACTACTAGGGAACAGAAGATTTGTGTTTAAATTCATAAAAATTAAGCCTATGGGAAACGTGAGTATCATACTCCACCGATATCAGGTCCACCACGTTTGCTGCCAATTGCATCTATCTCATCAATAAAAATAATAGAAGGGGCATATGATCTGGCACTTGAAAAAAGGTCTTTTACTCTTGATGCAGCCACGCCAACAAACATCTGGAGAAATGATTCATGTTAGATGATAAGCAGAGTTGAAGGTATTAAGAAATCAAAGGACACGAAAGATAGGAAATAAAATGTATGGGGTACTTAATAACTCATTACTCACTCTGCACATTTATTTTCAAAGCATCATTGTTCAATCATTTCAAGATTATTAAGATAAAAATTAATCAAGAAGCTAATGAACTTGAAGCAATGCTATCTAACAACTGCTTCATCTAAGTCCACAATAGTGAATTTGGTTTTCTGATGTCTCACAAAATTGGTAACTGTCTGCATGGTCCTGTGTGTTAGGATATCAAAACGAATCAAGAAAAACAGTATCCCTTGGGAGTCACTCCATCTTAGAGCAAACAACCCCCCCCCCCCCTAAAAAAAAACAACCCACCCACACACAAAAAGATGGAGTCTTCAGCCTCCATGCATAAATCTTCAAAACACTAGCTAGTTTACTTAATCCAATGTTTCATTAGCTGCAAGTGGCAGGCAATAAAAGATCTCTAGAAGAAAACAGTGGAAACTTGAGCATTTATGTTTTTTTATCAAGACAACTATAGTTGTGGCTGAAATGGAGTGAAGTAGAAGACTCAGAGCGAGAATGAAAGAGGGTAATGTCTTTTTTAATCAGCTCCTAGGTTTTACCAAGATAAATCTCGGTTTCTTGTTTTTACTATTTACATTGATTTGCACTATAGTTGCTTAAGGCCAAAAATAAAGCAAAGTTAATAATGCGTATAAATGTCCACAATAACTTTTAAGAACTTCCATAAAATTATGATAAAAGTCTGAGGCTTAATCCTCGTTTAAGCCTTGTGCCTCATACGCCTCAATACACCCCATCCACCTAGAGCGTAAGCCTCAGAATACCAGCATGAGGCCTAAGCCTTAGAGGCTTAAACTCACCGCCTTGAGGTGAACCACCTCAAACACCTTCGAAAACCATGTTAAGGAATATGGATTAGTTCTCAAAAGGTTACTATAGGTACCGTTAGCAGCAAAAGAGTTTTGCAAAAAAGAGTTTGATGACCCCTAAAAAAATCCCTCACCTCAACAAAATCAGTACCATTAGCAGCAAAAAAAGGAAGTCCTGCTTCACCAGCTATAGCTTTTGCCAGAAGTGTTTTGCCAGTTCCAGGAGGTCCATAGAGAAGCACTCCTTTTGGGCAATAAATGCCCTTATCTCGAAACTCTTCCTCATTCTTTAGAATATGAACAATCTCTTGTAGTTCCTTCTTAATATATTCTTGACCAGCAAAATCATCAAAAGTAACACCAGTTTTTTCTTCAGCTGATATAAATTTTGCCCTGATATTGAGTAAAAGAAGAGAACTTAGTGCCACATTGCTCAATGAAATCCCCTCAAGTTTGACTTATATTGCACGTGAACAAGCCAATAACTCAATAAGGTCTCACAAGTAGAGTCTAGGGAGGGTGGATGTAGGCAGACCTTACCCCTGCAGCCCTGCCTATAGTGGTTGAGAGGCTGATATTATAAAATAAAAAGAATTCAAAATATTATTTTTACGAGTAAGCATAGCCTAGAGGAAATTATAGAAGGTAAGGAAAACATATAATGTGGAAAAATCATTTGGGATTAGGGTACTCCAAAATTAGTTCAAAATCTTTTTTCATGTCAGTGTTTAACAATGTCATCTTTTGACTAGAAACTCTTCCATTTCTAGCTTTCTATGCTCATTTACTTTTTAGTTATTCTAGCGTACATATCAATTGAGGACAGTAGGTCGTAGGAGTTCAGTGTAGGTATACATCATTTCTAAGTATCTTGTTTGATGTACCATAATACCGGTTCTCTCAGCATAGATCCTAACATGCTATGTATGTGCATTTCATACATCCATTCAATATTTGTTCTTTCACATTTGAAAAGTAACTGTAAGTCACATGCAGCAGGCTAAATCCATTTGGTAAAAGCTTACTTTACTTAAAAGCACATACTCCCTCCAACCCAAACTAAGTTTCCATTTGCTTTTTCACAAAATTTGAGAAAATGTGAAATTGTATTGTTGAAATTTTTGCATATGGATAGAAACAACACAATCCATTCCCTTAAAAAAATGAGAACTTTAATTTTAGGATGTACCGAAAAGGAAAGCCAGGACAGGGAGTGTGAGGCAAGAAAAAAACATTTTTTAAATATAGCAATGAATGAATAATATTGTGGCATAACATCTGTAAAAAAAAGAAGTGACACAAGAATTTTGTTAGATGAATATAAGAACTAGTAGTCTTTAGCTTCAAGCCTTCAGGTATCAAGGTAGACATAGGAGTAGCAGACCTTGAAACACCAAATCAGAATGCAACAGTTTGAAGCCCATAAATCTTTTAATTCAAAAATGCTTTTAGGCTTTATTCGATGCAATTGTGCCCCCATAAACTTCATAATTTGATTATGCAGTTCAAAGTTAATTTTCATTACCTGCTCTTTCCTATTGAGCCCAAAGATGGATTGTTTATTGGAATATTTTTCATCTTGAAAGGAGCCCCTAAATCAACCGGTATTAGCTTTGTATAAATTGGTCTCATCCTATTATCAATCCAAATATACAATGCAACAGCAACAGCAAGCCTCATAGACCACACAACCACAACCGCAACAGTAGAATATACTTCAAGTGGGAGCATTTTCACATTATACACATCGACATTTACAAGCTGTTGATGCAACTTCCGCCAAACATCTTTCCAGCAATCAATTGGCATACGCTCCACAATGTGGCGTTTGAAAACAAGTTCTTGTCTTTTATCCCCATTTAGATCTTCCTTTTTCTCATCCTTGTAGTATGGCAGAATCACTATACACAGACTTAAACTCTCAAAAACAATAATTAACTCATCCAATAATATAATTTACTAACATACATGATTTTCTCATAAGACAAATAAGGTAATTCCAATCATAAAAAAATAACAGACAACCTCCCTTGTATATAAAAAATAAGCATAAATCCATACCAAATTAATTATTTTTAAATTATTTTGATACAGCAGGATCACTAAACGCATTCAAGAAATAAGTCACCATTCAAATACTCTTTCCAACCCTAATACTTACACTTTTAAAAGTACGCCAAAAGTTCTTCCAAACGAGAGGTGACATGATAATGTTATTCTAATGAAAGATTTATGTAAATAAGTTTTAAAAAAAAGATAACATTGTTTGACCTTGTGAATAGTAAAGTGACGTATATTTAGGGACAGAGGGAGTACAACAATAATGTACCAAAAAATGATTTGCTGATAAGATTGAAAAACTAGTAGAAATAAACGAATAAGTATCGTTAGTTAGTATCATTCATTATTTGCTTCCCTTTGTTTATACAAACTTCACAGGTCAAATTCAACTATGGACTATATTCACAAGAGGACATTAAAATGTATTAGGTTTATGATAAATACATCTCAACTAAATTAGTAGTCTACATGAATCAGGTGCAATTTTTGTTAGCTTAGGGCATTTGACCAAAAAAAGTATTTTTGATGATGATGATGATGATGATGATTATAATAATAATAATAATAATAATAATAATAATAATAACAACAACAACAACAACAACAATGCCTATGATTACGGCCTACGGGATTGACAACTGACTACTTATTTCCACAAACACTTAAATAGTAAGCAAGGACAGGCACTGACAGGGAACCAACCAGAAACTGTCTGGCCATAATTTGAGTACTCCATAAACTGCACATTATTTGAGTTAAGCAACTGCTGGAAATCTCTATAGCTTATTCGATGAGAACTCTCAGGATCCCATTGTGTTCCTTTCAACTTTCCACGCAAAGTTAACAGCTTCCTGCTCCATTCTGAAGCTAACACAAGCTGCCTCTCTAATTGAACATTTGCCTTTCTTTCAAACTCCTGTAAAGTATTTATCCTTTCTCTTTCACCCTCTTTCAAGTTCTGAAATTCCATTTACAGATGCACGTGATTAAGAAAAACAAAATAACAAAATTAGAAATTATTTTTCATTGCTTAATCTTAAGTTCCCACTCTTTTTTAGGGATTTTTGTCTATTTTCAGTTTTTAGTTTACATTGCAATGATTCCAGAAGAATGGAAAAAAAACTGTCATTAAGTCATTAACAACATTCAACTTAAAATTGTTTGATAAAGTCAGAAAGGCTTCGCCTGATTTAAAGTAGTGTGCATATAAGTTTAGAAGGTTTTGGGGTTGCCTCAAAAGTATTCTTAACCTCTGAAAAACGAAATCACCTCACATTTAAATGAGCCTTCTTCAAAAGAAAGACCCGCACAAAGTGAGCACTCTTTTGAAAGAAAATGAGCAGAATAACACAAATACGAAAGGACTGAAGAAAATTTGAAGTCATTTGAGGAATAATGAGCAAAAAGTCCCGAAATTACAAGAATGTGGGTACATCCCGATGTGTAATTGTGTGCCTAAAACTCATGTTTATGAGATTGAAAAAACCAAATCGTTTTCAATTTGGAATTACAATAGCACAATCTCTATTTATACTGTTCCATTTGGAGACGGGATAAATAAAAGGAAAAGAGACCAATCTTATATTATTCCATTTCATGATGAATGGAACGAACCTCGAATAGGGACTCTGCTTCTTCACTGGCTGCCTTGGAACTCGTAGGAGTTGAAGAAGAGGATGAAGAAGAAGAAGAAGAAGAAGAAGACGTATGATAAGCGCTGATTCTAAGCGCGGTGGGACTGACATTGAGCTTGCCGCGAGGTATCCGCCGCAAATTGGCGGAGAAGATGCGACTTGGATGCAGAGGCGGCAGAAGCCGGTTAGAAAGTAGGGGTTTATGACGGCAGAGATGGGGTTTAGGTATTTGGGTTGACGGGTTGAAGGCGCCATTATAAGTTGCAAACATCATCTTCTTCTTCCTCCTCTACAGTTTTCTTGCTTCAATCATTCCCAGTGCGACTTGAAATCTTCTTCTTCTTCCTCCTTATCCGTCTTAGGAGGCTCTTTCCTGGTTATCTAATGAAGTTTAATGTTGCCCTGTTTGGGGTTCGAGGGGAAGGAGTATTAGTCATTTCTTACCTCTCTTTTGAATGAATTTGACTATGTGAAAATGAAACAGGTGGAAGTGACTTAGTATCTCTTCGAGTGATTTCCTAATTTGTTAAACATAATTCAACTCATTTAGAATAATCTCTATACTTTAGTGTCACAAGTCCTAACAACATACGAAGTCTCTAAATGAGTGTAACTATGTGAACTATGTCCGCACCTAGAATGGAGCTCTAAACCCCGCTGCCCCGCTACACAATCCATGCTCGCCGCACCACTACACCATTGCAAGAAGAGGGGCAGAGAAAGCGCCGCGGCACTTGAACTATGTCCGCACCTGAATGTACTTTATCTCTCTTCTCTTACCATCCTACAATGAATCCCAAGGGAAAAAACTTCAACTTTGAGAATTCCGAACTCGATGCAGTCATTCGATTTACAAATTCTGGTACTTTACCTGACGATGACTTCTCACCATTCTCGGACTCCAAAAATAGCCCTTACCAATTGTCGATCGTTAATACGACTCACTATGACGTTTCTTAGTAGGAGCCCATCAGCGAGGGCATTAGCAAAGGGTAGGCCAAAGAGATTAACGAGCTGAAGAAGTATACTCCGAGGAAAAGTCTGACATTGCGTCGACGTGTCGAAGGACGCCATCGTTGGCAACTACTTGAAATCCAAAATGTTCTAGAGTGCGTTGCGGCGAAATGCAATGCCGGGAGGCCCGATGGTTCGATCGTACGTGACGGAGAGATGCTTCAGAAACACTAAAGTCGTTTGCACCTTGAAGTCTAGAACTTTCGTGGCTTGTATGCCAACGTGCTCAAGATGTGACCCAGTGGGTCCATTGTCGAAGACATTATGCAGATGGTGTTAGACCTTTATTATGAAACGGAGAAGAACTCTTCCAATGTAACGCCCCAAAACATACCCTAGTGATATATCTAGTGATTAAAATGTTTGTATAGATCGTTTCTACGTTCATAAACGATCGTTTGATTGAGTTTTGTGTTTGACATGTTTGAAGAACCAATAATCATAAACTAGTGATTAAAATGTTTGTATGGATCGTTTCTACGTTCATAAACGGTCGTTTGGTTGAGTTTTGTGTTTAACATGTTTGAAGAACCAATAATCATAATGTAAAATTTAGAGTAAAACTGATCTGATTTTACTAATCACAAGCAAGTGTATATATACAAGTACAAGCGGGCTTAGGGTTACAAGTGGGCCCGATAAACTAATTACAGTCCAAAATTACAAATACCCGCTAACACTCCCCCTCAAGTTGGTGCATGAAGATCCTGAATGNCCCCCCAAACCAACCCACACACAAAAAGATGGAGTCTTCGGCCTCCATGCATAAATCTTCAAAACACTAGCTAGTTTAATTAATCCAATGTTTCATTAGCTACAAGTTGCAGGTATTAAAGGATCTCTAGAAAAAAACAGTGGAAACGTGAGCATTTATGTTTTTTTATCAAGACAACTATAGTTCTGGCTGAAATGGAGTGAAGTAGAAGACTGAGAGTGAGAATGAAAGAGGGTAATGTCTTTTTTAATCAGCACCTAGGTTTTACCAAGATAAATCTCGGTTTCTTGTTTTTACTATTTACACTGATTTACACTGTAGTTGCTTTAAAGGCCAAAAATAAAGCAAAGTTAATAATGTGTATAAATGTCCACAATAACTTTTAAGAACTTCCATAAAATTATGATAAAAGTCTGAGGCTTAATCCTCGTTTAAGCCTTGTGCCTCATACCCCTCAATACACCCCATCCACCTAGAGCGTAAGCCTCAGAATACCAACATGAGGCCTAAGCCTTAGAGGCTTAAACTCACCGCCTTGAGGTGGACCACCTCAAACACCTTCAAAAACCATGTTAAGGAATATGGATTAGTCTTCAAAAGGTTACTATAGGTACCGTTAGCAGCAAAAGAGTTTTGCAAAAAAGAGTTTGAAGACCCCTAAAAAAATCCCTCACCTCAACAAAATCAGTACCATTAGCAGCAAAAAAAGGAAGTCCTGCTTCACCAGCTATAGCTTTTGCCAGAAGTGTTTTGCCAGTTCCAGGAGGTCCATAGAGAAGCACTCCTTTTGGGCAATAAATGCCCTTATCTCGAAACTCTTCCTCATTCTTTAGAATATGAACAATCTCTTGTAGTTCCTTCTTAATATATTCTTGACCAGCAAAATCATCAAAAGTAACACCAGTTTTTTCTTCAGCTGATATAAATTTTGCCCTGATATTGAGTAAAAGCCTAGAACTTAGTGCCACATTGCTCAATGAAATCCCCTCAAGTTTGACTTATATTGCACGTGAACAAGCTAATAACTCAATAAGGTCTCACAAGTAGAGTCTAGGGAGGGTGGATGTAGGCAGACCTTACCCCTGCGGCCCTGCCTATAGTGGTTGAGAGGCTGATATTATAAAATAAAAAGAATTCAAAATATTATTTTTACGAGTAAGCATAGCCTAGAGAAAATTATAGAAGGTAAGAAAAACATATAATGTGGAAAAATCATTTGGTATTAGGGTACTCCAAAATTATTTCAAAATCTTTTTTCATGTCAGTGTTTAACAATGTCATCTTTTGACTTGAAACTCTTCCATTTCTAGCTTTCTATGTTCATCTACTTTTTAGTTATTTTAGCTTACATATCAATTGAGGACAGTAGGTCGTAGGAGTTCAGTGTAAGTATACATCATTTTTAAGTATCTTGTTTGATGTACCATAATACCGGTTCTCTCAGCATAGATCCTAACATGCTATGTATGTGCATTTCATACATCCATTCAATATTTGTTCTTTCACATTTGAAAAGTAACTGTAAGTCACATGCAGCAGGCTAAATCCATTTGGTAAAAGCTTACTTTACTTAAAAGCACATACTCCTTCCAACCCAAACTAAGTTTTCATTTGCTTTTTCACAAAATTTGAGAAAATGTGAAATTGTATTGTTGAAATATTTGCATAGGGATATAAACAACACAATCCAATCCCTTAAAAAATGAGAACTTTAATTTTAGGATGTACTGCAAGGAAAGCGAGAACTTAATTTCAGGACAGGGAGAGTGTAAGGCAGGAAAAAGACATTTTTTAAAAATAGCAATGAATGAATAATATTGTGGCATAACATCTGTAAAAAAAAGAACTGACACAAGAATTTTGTTAGATGAATATAAGAAAGAGTAGTCTTTAGCTTCAAGGCTTCAGGTATCAAGGTAGACATAGGAGTAGCAGACCTTAAAACACCAAATCAGAATGCAACAGTTTGAAGCCCATAGAACTTTTAATTCAAAAATGCTTTTAGGCTTTATTCGATGCAATTGTGCCCCCATAAACTTCATAATTTGATTATGCAGTTCAAAATTAATTTTCATTACCTGCTCTTTCCTATTGAGCCCAAAGATGGATTGTTTATTGAAATATTTTTCATCTTGAAAGGAGCCCCTAAATCAACCGGTATTAGCTTTGTATAAATTGGTCTCATCCTATTATCAATCCAAATATACAATGCAACAGCAACAGCAAGCCTCATAGACCACACAACCACAACCGCAACCGTAGAATATACTTCAAGCGGGAGCATTTTCACATTATACACATCGACATTTACAAGCTGTCGATGCAACTTCCGCCAAACATCTTTCCAGCAATCAATTGGCATACGCTCCACAATGTGGCGTTTGAAAACAAGTTCTTGTCTTTTATCCCCATTTGGATCTTCCTTTTTCTCATCCTTGTAATATGGCAGAATCACTATACACAGACTTAAACTCTCAAAAACAATAATTAACTCATCCAATAATATAATTTACTAACATACATGATTTTCTCATAAGACAAATAAGGTAATTCCAATCATAAAAAAATAACAGAGAACCTCCCTTGTTTATAAAAAATAAGCATAAATCCATACCAAATTAATTATTTTTAAATCATTTTGATACAGCAGAATCACTAAACGCATTCAAGAAATAAGTCACCATTCAAATACTCTTTCCAGCCCTAAATAAACTTCAGTTTACCGTATATGAAGTTTGAGCGAAATTCTTATTCAACTTATTTGAATATTGGTGTAATATTATAAAACAATACTTACACTTTTAAAAGTACATCAAAAGTTCTTCCAAACCAGAGGTGACATGATAATGTTATTCTAATGAAAGATTTATGCAAATGAGTTAAAAAAAGATAACAATGTTTGACCTTGTGAATAGTAAAAGTGGCGTATATTTAGGGACAGAGGGAGTACAACAATAATGTACGAAAAAATGTTTTGCTGATAGGATTGAAAAAACTAGTAAAAATAAACGAATGAGTATCGTTAGCTAGTATCATTCATTATTCGCTTCCCTTTGTTTATACAAACTTCACAGGTCAAATTCAACTATGGACTATATTCACAAGAGGACATTAAAATGTATTAGGTTTATGATATATACATCTCAACTAAATTAGTAGTCTACATGAATCAGGTGCAATTTTTGTTAGCTTAGGGCATTTGACCAAAAAAGGTATTTTTGATGATGATGATGATGATTATAATAATAAATAATAATAATAACAACAACAACAACAACAATGCCTATTATTACGGCCTACGGGATTGACAACTGACTACTTATTCCCACAAACACTTAAATAGTAAGAAAGGACGGGCACTGACAGGGAACCAACCAGAAACTGTCTGGCCATAATTTGAGTACTCCATAAACTGCACATTATTTGAGTTAAGCAACTGCTGGAAATCTCTATAGCTTATTCGATGAGAACTCTCAGGATCCCATTGTGTTCCTTTCAACTTTCCACGCAAGGTTAACAGCTTCCTGCTCCATTCTGAAGCTAACACAAGCTGCCTCTCTAATTGAACATTTGCCTTTCTTTCAAACTCCTGTAAAGTATTTATCCTTTCTCTTTCACCCTCTTTCAAGTTCTGAAATTCCATTTACAGATGCACGTGATTAAGAAAAACAAAATAACAAAATTAGAAATTATTTTTCATTTTTTAATCTTTAGCTCCCACTCTTTTTTAGGGATTTTTGTCTATTTTCAGTTTTTAGTTTACATTGCAATGATTCCAGAAGAATGGAAAAAAAACTGTCATTAAGTCATTAACAACATTCAACTTAAAATTGTTTGATAAAGTCACTGAAAGGCTTCGCCTGATTTAAAGTAGTGTGCATATACGTTTAGAAGGTTTTGGGGTTGCCTCAAAAGTATTCTTAACCTCTGAAAAACGAAATCACCTCACATTTAAATGAGCCTTCTTCAAAAGAAAGACCCGCACAAAGTGAGCACTCTTTTGAAAGAAAATGAGCAGAATAACACAAATACGAAAGGACTAAAGAAAATTTGAAGTCATTTGAGGCATAATGAGCAAAAAGTCACGAAATTACAAGAATGTGGGTACATCCGGATGTGTAATTGTGTGCCTAAATTCATGTTTATGAGATTGAAAAAAACAAATAGTTTTCAATTTGGAATTACAATAGCACAATCTCTATTTATACTGTTCCATTCGGAGACGGGATAAATAAAAGGAAAAGAGACCAATCTTATATTATTCCATTTCATGATGAATGGAACGAACCTCGAATAGCGACTCGGCTTCTTCACTGGCTGCCTTGGAACTCATAGGAGTTGAAGAAGAGGAAGAAGAAGAAGAAGACGTATGATAAGCGCTGATTCTAAGCGCGGTGGGACTGACATTGAGCTTGCCGCGAGGTATCCGCCGCAAATTGGCGGAGAAGATGCGTCTGGGATGCAGAGGCGGAAGAAGCGGGTTAGAAAGTAGGGGTTTATGACGGCAGAGATGGGGTTTAGGTATTTGGGTTGACGGGTTCAAGGCGCCATTATAAGTTGCAATCATCATCACCATGTTCTTCCTCCTCTACAGTTTTCTTGCTTCAATCATTCCCAGTGCGACTTGAAATCTTCTTCTTCCTCCTCGCTTATCCGTCCCAGGAGGCTTTTCTTGGTTATCTAATGAAGTTTAATGTTGCCCAGTTTGGGGTTTGAGTGGAAGGAATATAGGAGCTATTTGACAACTTCTGAATAGGTAAGTGCTGAACCAGTAAGAGTTCTGAACCATTAAGTGCTGAACCAGTAAGAAGTCTGAACCATTAAGAGCTAGTATATTGCTTAACTATTTAGAGGCAAATGTCTGATCAATTCAGATAAGAGGTCTTAATCATTCAGACTATGTATAATACTTAACCATTCAGAGACAAATCTCTTAACCATTCAGACATCTGAACCATTAAGAGGCTGAAACAAACAGTCTGAACCATTAAGTGCTGAACCATTTAAACATCTGAACCATTAAGAGGCTGAAACAAACAGCCCCTTAGTCATGAGTAGGGAATACACCAAAGGTGTACCCAAACCAAAGGTGTACCCCAAATGTACACCATACCTTCTTCAATATTCATTTTTATTTGATTTTTATTTATTTATTTATTGAATTATTGAATTTCTTGCCAAAAGCATTTTTCATTAGTCATTTCGTATCTCTTTTGAGTCACTATGTACCTCTTTTGAATCGAATGAGTTTCACTATGTGAAAGTGAAACAAGTGGTAGTCCTTCTCCCTTGCAGTCGAGTGACTTCGTATCTCTTCAAGTGACTTCATACCTTTGCGTAAACTACAAATGCGTTAAACATAATTCAACTCATTTAGAGTAATCTCTATACTTTAGTGTCACAAGTCCTAACAACATACGAAGTCTCTAAATGAGTGTAACTATGTGAAGTTGAAATAGTTCAACAAATCATTACACTCTAGCGACTAAATAAGTTGAACTATGTCCGCACCTACAATGGAGCTCCAAACCCCACTGCCCCGCTACACAATCCATGCTCGCCGCACCACTACACCATTGCAAGAAGAGGGGCAAAGAAAGCGCCGCGGCACTTGACGCACTTGCGGCGCCCAGCTGGTTACAAACCCTGGCAGTTTTGGATGGGAGGCCGTCCACTATGACGGTCCTCAGCGCCGAAGCAAGATATTTTTTCACTTTCCAACTCAATAAATTCAACGCATCTTCAACTTCAATTCATCTACTCACATCTCCCTGAATGCACTTTATCTCTCTCTTTTTTTACCATCCTACAATGAAGCCCAAGGGAAAAAACTTCAACTTTGAGAATTCCAAACTCAATGCAGTCATCCGATTTACAAACTCTGGTACTTTACCTGACGATGACTTCTCACCATTCTCGGACTCCAGCGATAGCCCTTACCAATTGTCGATCGTTAATACGACTGACTATGACGTTTCTGAGTAGGAGCCCATCACCGAGGGCATTAGCAAAGGGTAGGCCAAAGAGATTAACGAGCTGAAGAAGTATACTCCGAGGAAAAGTCTGACAATGCATTGACGTGTCAAAGAACGCCATCGTTGGCAACTACTAGAAATCCAAAATGTTCTAGAGCGCGTTGCGGCGAAGTGCAATGCCAGGAGGCCCAATGGTTTGCTCGTACGTGACGGAGAGATGCTTCAGAAAACACTAAAGTCGTGTGCACCTTGAAGTCTAGAACTTCAGTGGCTTGTATACCAACGTGCTCAAGACGTGGCCCAGTGAGTCCATTGTCGAAGACATTATGCAGAAGGTGTTGGACACTTGGACCTTTATTATGAAGCGGAGAAGAACTTTTCCAATGTAACGCCCCAAAACATACCCTAAAATTTTTATTGAATTATTATTCAATTAAACAATTTTTTTTGATTAAAATCAATTATTAATGGGCTTTGGGGTGAAATGAAATATGTTTTGATATCCAATATCACAATTTAGATAAATCTCATAGAGATAAATCCAAGGGCAAAGCTATTTGTACCCCAAGGATTTATACCCTATTTTGTACACCGCAGGGATGCACCAACATTTTGTGTTGGTGTAATGTTAACTTTTGTTAACGCACCAACACTTTGTCTCAGTGTAAATTTTTGTTAATGCACCAACACTTTGTGTCAGTGTAAACTATCAAAATGTTGGTACATACCTTTGGTGTACAAATGAGGTACAAATTTCGGGGTACATGTAGCATGCTCCTAAATCCAATATGTTGACTATATGTGTTGATTGGGAACCAGAGTACAGACCCAAATTAAGAATAACTAAAGAATTTGATTTATGATGTGAACTTTTAGAATGATTTATTAAAATCAGACATGAGAATAAATGGCATGAACTGAATATGAAAGTCTTTTGAATAAAAGATTAATTAAATCGATTTTGCCTCTGTTAAAGTCAAACACCAAATATATATATATATATATATATATATATATCTATATATATATATATATATATATATATATATATATATATATATATATATATATATATATATATATATATATATATATATATATATATATATATATATATATATATATATATTGTCGAAAAAAGTATTATGAATAAATATAAAAATTATATCATTGGATAGAGTTTGACAGTCTAATCGCAACGATGCAAACAAATTTTAATTCGGAGAAGATTGAACCAAAAAATGTTCCCCGATTGAGATCAAATTAGTCCCAATCAGGGGATGGCGTGTATAATCCTACGAATCGGTTGTCCTACGCACTACGCCAATCGCACGATTTCTGAAGGAGATGTCCCTGGCTTCTTCCTCATCACAACCATTATATAAGGAACTCTTTACTTCTTCATTTCTTCACCAATTCTCTCCATTCTTCCTTCTTTTCTGTTCTTTGTTGAGCGAGGATTGTAATGATGCTTCCTGAAGAGCTTGAGGAGTTGAGAGTAATTGTCGCCAGAAGTTTTGCCAAAAAATTCCAAAATCTCTATTTTAGCGCAAGGTAAGCCCTTAGATATATCTAGTGATTAAAATGTTTGTATGAATCGTTTCTACGTTCATAAACGGTCGTTTGGTTAAGTTTTGTGTTTGACATGTTTGAAGAACCAATAATCATAAACTTTGAATTTGTTGTTAAAACTTCAAATTACTAACACCAAAATGATTTGTGTACCTTAAGTTAAAACTAATTTAAGAGTTGGAAAACCTTTTTAAAAATTGTACTTTAAACTAGATTAGCTTAGAAGGTGGTTAGAAATATTTACTTTAACGTAACTATAGTTTAAGAGTTGGTTAGTAGTATCTTAAACTAGAATATAGTTTAAGAGTTGGTAAACATTATGAATTTGGCCTTAGACTATGAATAATTTAAGAGCACTATTGACATTATGAATATTGAATATTCAATATGACATGAAATGACCCGAATTGAATACTATGAACATTATAGAAGATGAATGCTTGAATAGAATATTATGTGAATGGTATCAAATGATTTGTTTGTGAATTAAGATTCAATTTATGTGGATGTTTGATGCATTAGATATCCTTACTCAGCTTCACCGTTGAACGTGTAGTATGTTTTGTTATTTGCTATACGTAGGAAAACGGAAGGAATAATGTGACATGATCCTGGCGGCAGACGGGGCGAGATTTTCGAGATGGATGTGATGGTTTTGAACTAATATTTGAAAAGACATAAATTAATTATATTTTGTGATTGTGATTAGTTAAGCTTCCGCAACATTGAAAACTCTATTATTGTTATGAATAATATTTTATGATGAATAAAAGTGTTTGAAATATTTTAAATTTTTACGAGTACTAAAGTAATACTTTAGTGAGAAACGGGCTGCCGCCCTGGATGGATTAGGGTGTTACATTCAAGTTCCACGAAATCTAGGAAATTCTGCAGAGGAGCCCCAAATTCAGCATCCGGGCGGAGACCAAAGGATCAGGACCGAAGCAATCTAAACTCTCCGAGACTAGTTTGTACTCAAAGAGCGGGGGAGACATTCCTTTGACCTTAACACCACGGGGGATGACTTCCCTCTTGGATCGGGCGACAAACCCACCAGTCAGAGCTGCCCGATCGAGACAAAGGTGGCAAAAAAAATGAAGGGGAAGTCCATGACAACAACTCCTAGTATGCCACTCCCACCCCCATAGCCGGCAGTGGACAAAATGAATAGTAGCCTTTAGAGTATAAGCTTGGTTGTTCATTGCACCAAACTCAGCAAACTCATGGCAATAGATACATCGATGATGTCAGAGATGGAGCTAAAGTAAAACCACAACATAATGGTGGCAACTCAGTAGTATTTGTTTTTTAAGTCTTTGTAACACTACGAAAGCCGGTCTAAAAGAATAAACTACGTAAATTACTAATTTTGACTGTGTGATCTATGGTGCTCTAAAAAATAAAAATATTTTTAACATATCGTTGCGTTCCATTTATTTTTCTGAGTTCAGAAACGCGATCAGCTTCAAAATCGGGCTCTATTTGGAAAATAACCCAAAATTCAAACAGATAAAATATTTCTTCTGGAATAAGATTGTTACCCAATTTTACAAATATTCCTTTTAAATCAACTTAGAATCCCTGCACATATCTCTTGATTCATTGACACCTCATGTTTAGAGGTTGGCCAACATAAGGGTCACCTCTCACTTTCCTTTCTTAACCTTATTGTTTGATGTGTTGGGGTGTTGTAACTTGGTCCATCCTCTCAATGTCCCTGTATCTTCCTTTAATAAAAGACTAGCCCTACTAAACATTCATTCACTTTAAACACTTAGAAGTTCCTGCAAGTTTGTATCTTCATCTTCCTCAAGTTCTTCAACCTCGATTAATGGAGAAAACTCAAGGTATGAGCCTAAACTCCACTCATATCAATACCATACTCATTTTAATGCTCTTGTAACGCTCCTTATACCTAAGCCTAGTATATGAACAAGAAAAAAATCAAGAATAAAGGAAGACAAGTTCTCGGATTGCTTATTGGAATCGTTAAGATTGAAAGTGATGCTGAATTTTTTCTAGGCAGAAACTTTAGCTGACTTGGACAGTAGTAATCACTCTTTTCTACACGTTATTACGAGAAACTCTAAACATGAAATTTTTAGTTCTACGTCTTATCTAACCATTACTTCAAACATTTTGCGTTCCGAAATGTAACAAGGGATATACGCTCAAAATACGAAGACTAGTCCAGCTGTG